TGAAGAACAAAAGTGGACTTGTCAATCCGTTCATGCCGGTGCCGCCGAGCCCACTGCCGGTACGCCCGAGTTCCAGCCACGAAGAAACCGCCCCCTCTGATAATGCCGATGTTCCTGGCGCTTGTCTTGTCATACACGGGTTTGCGACTCGTGGCCACTCAACAGAAAAAAACGGTCGCTGGTCAATCGAAGCATTTTCGCCAGTCAAATCAAGGTCCTGTGGCACGGTGAAAAGAAGTCCCTCCTCGGATCGTGCTGTCCCCGAACAGAGCAGCAGCACCTGAGTGAAGAACAAAAGTGGACTTGTCAATCCGTTCATGCCGGTGCCGCCGAGCCCACTCACTATAATAATAATGTAAGCCTATGCAACACGCTATATGAATTTTGTACAATTTACAAGTTATGATATGTGTATTGGACACCTTTCTATAAAGCTTTCACTGGGGCCCATACTTCATTTCATCCTTCGCCCGAGCACGCCTGACGCTACCAGCCAATCCAGCGTCGAGAGAGCGTCATGTGACCTTGAACTCCACACAACCAAAACGTCACGTGATACTCTCCCGGCGCCGGATTGGCTGTGGTGGTCCAGCATCAATTGGGCCACCTTAGTGGGCGCCCATTCCATGCCAAGCATCCTTCGCCGAGTGTGTTTAGTAGGCACTCACTGTGAAGGGTGCTTGCCTGAACACCCTAAGGGTGTTAGCCCTGAGATAAACTGATTTACACCTTAGAGGGTGCAAAAACGTTTTCTGTGTACTGGTAACCCGCACCGGTTTTGAAAAGCCACGTTGCTATTAACCTCGATGCAAACGCCTACCGTCTCGAACATACCCTTATGTGGTACAGAGTAGAATAGGTCCTTTACGTTTAGAGAAAGCTCGAACTTTACTCTCATCACATTTTGTGTTGGATATTGAATTACTGCCCATGAATTGGTTATCACAATACATACAGTAAATACCTAGTTGCGAGTAGTGTTCTATCCTGTCCCTGTCTTCTTCCTGTGTTGTCTTTGCGCTACATTGTAATTCTGCAAAACCAACTAGCCCATCAGCTCATTTTAATGCTTTGTATAGAGATGTAATCATCATTTAATTTTCAAGCCATGCACTAACATAAGCGACTTTTTCTCTGAAAATAATGATGACTGCTCGAAACCAACATTTTGCCTGCTACAAGACCTACGAAAGGTCAAGTGCCACTCCCATTACAGGCATGTGCATGTGTACACAGAAGTTGCTTTTGTTTATCTTGAGGACGTGCACTACTTTTGTGAATTTTTGCCACCTGGTATACTACTGGGCCGCAACTGCTATTAAAAGTTTGTACAGTTCGGAACAAGCAGTGAACTAAACGCACTGCATTTTTGTTGTTTTTACGGCTCTCTAACTTTCTCGACTTTTCTCAAGGGACAAAACGGGAATGCAGCTGCTGTAAAGCATTCTATAGTTGGTGACAACTGATGGGAACGACAAGTCATACTTTTGTTGTCGTGTGGCGAATACATGGTGCGACACCAATCATCATCATAGTGTCTTTAGAGGGAGTGCGCATGAAGAAAGACCAAGACGGAACGAAAGCGTGTGCTGCGTGGTGTTGAACGTGTCCCATAGTGTTCTGGATATTTTACTTTCTTTCCTTATGTCTTTTACGTCCTTTTTTTCTATTTAAACATATTTTCTCATCGCTAACAATTCAGAAGTCTAATGAGCTGCTCCTCATTCGTGCGTCACGGTGAGCGAGCAAGCTAGACTTTGTGACTCTCTAACATTATTGGTGCGGGCCTTATGTAGGAACGAGAGGCAGATATTGCGACAAGGCAAGTCAACCTCGCTTTGATACCCATGATTTTCCTGACTGTGATTTATGAAACTCGACACTTGATTTGAAGGCCAATGTGAAGGTTCCTGTGTATCATTTTTCATATATAATGGCGCGTAATGACATGAAAATTATCTGGAGAACTTAATTTTGGTTTAATTGAATAGATGCAAGTTTGGATATATTAAACATGCATTCATAAACTTGGTTTCGTGTGTTACTAACTTACGCCCATGCGAAGGTTACATATTCGGGTGATGGGAACGCTTCACGAATTCTGTGAAGCGCACATGCAGGCAGCCTCTGACGATTCCCTTGGCCCAACCAACCCCACACCCACCACACAAAGATCCAGTAGACTGTGTAGCGGAGTTTTCTAAAAAAGGGCAAGGAGAAAATCAACGAGTTGAGAACTGGTTCAACTCGTTGGGCCAGGTCCATCTCAAGTCATCCTTAGTGTCAGCAATCCTGGCGGATCCACCCGACTGGCATCTTTCCTCGACGTGTCATCCTCCGTGCGTCAGCAGGACCCGTCCCCAAGCACCGTGACGTCACCCTGGTCGCAAGCATTCCCAGCATTCCAAGATCCCAGCCTACATAAAGACGGCGCAAGCCTCTCCTTCCTCAGTGGGCACGGGAACGCTAAGGCAGCATGGTCGCTCACGCATGAAATGCTTCCTCTCGTACAGGTTTGTAAACGTTTCTCGTTGCATGCTAAGAGTACAAACAATGTGAACATTTTACTATTTCCGTGCCCCAAAGTGTTACTTCGTCTCGTTTTTGATTGTGCGTGCGTTATTGGTAATCTGCTACTCTTGTCCGGTGACATTGAAACAAATCCTGGTCCCGCCCCTACCAAGGCTGAATTGATGCAAAAATGTTCCAAAAGCCGGGATTCATGATTAAAAACAAATACCTCCGACTTGCATAACAATATCAACATTTATCAGACGTTTCGTCTCCTATACGGGAGACATCATCAGTGCGGCCTGGGAACACCCGACTAGCTACCAGAAACACAACGCTTCTTTTTCCTTCTCTTCATCCGTGGCGCTGGTTCTGCCGACTTCTTCGTCCATGGCATAAGGGAGACATTATCAATAGAGAGTTTTAGTAGATCGTTCCGATACCCCCGATAGCCCCGATAACGATAATATGCATGCACAAGGGAGGCGGTGGCGGAGTATCGGGTATCGTTATCGGAGTCATGGGAACGATCCACTAAAACTCTCTATTGTCTGCCCTCGCTTCAACTTCTTTTTACGTCCGTCCTGGATGGTAAGTTAAATGACAGGTTATTTCAGGATGTCGGTGTATACGTCGGGGAGGGGGCCGCGGCTAGAATTGCAGGCAGATGGGTCACTCCGAATACACCATGATTCCAGAAATCTTCTGGGGCCCCACCGTTGTTCGCGTGCCAAGGTCACAGCATTCGCCAGGTCGAAAGTGTGACCAGTCGTCCAACAATGGTCCACCAGTTCTGTTTTTGATCTTGTGGCATGTGTTGCCTTCTCCACGTCTCTTTTGTGTTCTTTGAGGCGGGTACTCCGTTTGCGGCCAGTTTCTCCGATGTAACACTTGTCACAGTCCTGACAGTTCACTTTGTATACAACACCACTTTGAGATTCAGGAGGGGTTGGATCTTTTGGCTTCGAAATGAGGTCACGTAATTTTATATGGGGTTTGAAAGTTGTTTGTATACCTAGTGGCAGGAGGGACCGGCGAATAGATTCTGAGACGCCTTTTACATAAGGGATAGTCACCAGGCCTGCTTTGTAATTATTAGTCGCTTTTGTTTTTCCCTGCTGCATCTGTTTACGTGTGTTTTCAATAAAACCTTGTGAATACCCGCGCCTCAAAAGGGATCCGATAACAGTCTGAACTTCCGATGCTCGTAAATTTGAATTTGAAGGCAAATGTTCTGATCGGCTAATTAAGGTTTTTACAACGGCTCGCTTATGTTCTACAGGGTGGTGAGAATTGAAACTCAAAAAATTACCGGTATCACAAGGTTTACGATACACGGTGGTTTCAATCTGACCGGTGTCACTTCGGCAAACAGTTACGTCCAAGAAAGGTAACGTGCTATTTTGTTCAACTTCTCGCGTGAACTGTATGGAAGGTTCAATGCTGTTTAGGGTTGCATGAAAGTCATCGACGTGATCCTCATTTAAAATAACGAAAGTGTCATCTACGTAACGTCGATAGAATTTGACAGGGCATGCTTTTACTTCTAACGCGGTCTGCTCTATGTGTTCCATTACCAGATTAGCCAAGGTCACAGATACCGGACTACCCATTGGGCAACCCTCAATCTGACGATAGAATTGTCCACGGAAGGTGAAATGCGACTGATTTAGACAAAAACGCAAAAGAATAATAATATCCTCAACTGTCAGAGATGTCCGTGACGAAAGTGTGGAGTCATTACGTAGGCGTGTTTCGGCAACTTCCACTGCAAGAGTGGTCGGAACATTAGTGAACAAAGATATGACATCAAACGAGACCATTACATCTTCCTTGTCCAGAACATGACCTCGAATTAGGTCAACAAATTCTCGAGAGTTTATAACTGTAAAGTTGTTATTCCCTGTTATGGGAGAAAGCAGCTCTACGAGATATTTAGATAGGTTGTACGTGGGGGAACCAACAAACGACACAATCGGTCGTAGAGGACAATCGGGTTTGTGAATTTTGGGGAGGCCGTAAAGTTTTGAAGTACAACCATCGGAAGAAAAAAGGCGGCGGTAAATTGTGTCATTTAAGCGGTTCTTCTTTTTTAGATCACGTAGGTGGTCAACCAGAGCCCTTTCAGATTTTTTAGTCGGATCCTGTGCTAACTTTACAAAATGCGCAGTGTCCTGGAGGATGGCATCCATTTTTTGAAAATAAGCCTCTTTGTCAATGACAACAGTGCCCTTTCCTTTATCTGCAGAAAGGACAAGGATTGAATGGTCGGATTTAAGGTCCCGTAGTGCCGCTTGTTCGTGCTTATTTAGATTCGACGGGGTGGTTCTTGCGTTATTTAAAGTAGTCATTATACGGCTGCGTGCTAGGTTAATCCCTGAGCTATCATGGAGATGACGTAGCTTCTCTTCTATTTCCACGATAATGTCTCGTTTGGGGACAACGCGCGGAGCCAAAGCGAAATCTAGTCCTTTTGACAGAAGGCTTACATGACCGTCCGAGAGATGTTTAGATGACAGATTATAGACGGAAGTTGAAGTTGGTCTGGTAGAGGGCTTGGGTATAAGTTGTGATAATTTCTTGTCGTGGATGTTCGTGAGCTTGATTTTCTCCAAATCTTCGGCTTGCTTACGCGCGCCAAAAACGTGGTGCATGTCTTCGGGTTGAAGAATCCTCTGCAGGAATTTCTCAGCTGCAGCGACACGGTGCCGACAGTCGTTGATCCTCTGCTTGTTGTCCAAGATCCGGGCCTTTAGGCAGTTTCGGCTGAATTCTTGCGCCAGTTTTCTGCCGTAGTGGGTGTCAACACGAGGCCGGCAACGAAGAGCTAGAGGCATCACATTGTGATTCAGGCACTCACGATTGAAGTGTTGATGACATTCCAAGCGGATAATCTTGGTTGCTTGGTTGAGGTACTCTCTCAGGTGTCCCAGGGTAGCAATGCCGTATACAGTACGAATAAATGCAAAAAATGTTCCAAAAGCCGGGATTCGATGATTAAAAACAAATACCTCCGACTTGCATAACAATATCAACATTTATCAGACGTTTCGTCTCCTATACGGGAGACATCATTTGCCTGCAATTCTAACCGCGGCCCCCTCCCCGACGTATACACCGACATCCTGAAATAACCTGTCATTTAACTTACCATCCAGGACGGACGTAAAAAGAAGTTGAAGCGAGGGCAGACAATAGAGAGTTTTAGTGGATCGTTCCCATGACTCCGATAACGATACCCGATACTCCGCCACCGCCTCCCTTGTGCATGCATAGTATCGTTATCGGGGCTATCGGGGGTATCGGAACGATCTACTAAAACTCTCTATTGATAATGTCTCCCTTATGCCATGGACGAAGAAGTCGGCAGAACCAGCGCCACGGATGAAGAGAAGGAAGAAGAAGCGTTGTGTTTCTGGTAGCTAGTCGGGTGTTCCGAGGCCGCACTGATGATGTCTCCCGTATAGGAGACGAAACGTCTGATAAATGTTGATATTGTTATGCAAGTCGGAGGTATTTGTTTTTAATCAAGGCTGAATTGGAAGCGCAGGTGAAACAACTTAGTAGTATGTACGAGTTAATGCAGAAACTCGATGCTAATGTAACCGGCCTTGCGGCGGGACAAGCAGCCCTAAACGCCGATGTCGCGGCGATACTTGGCAAACAGGCTCAACTTGAGACTTCGGTGGCGGCGCTAAATGCAAAACTTGTTTAATTCGAAAAAGAAATCTTGTCTACCACGCAGGCCAAAGCAGATATCTGTAATCTGCAACATTCCGTCGCTATGCAGTCCACTGCAACTGAAGTTATGCTATCTGGACTTGGTGATTTTGAAAACCGATTGCGACGGTGTAATCTTCTAATTCATAGCATACCCGATGCTGCCGGTGAGTCATGGTCTTTGTCCGAACAAAACGTTTTAAAATTTGCAAATGAGAAACTTGGTGTCACTCTTGATAGCTCTCAGATCGAACGCGCACATAGATTGGGAACCCAATCTCGGGAAAAGAACAGGCCTTTTATTGTAAGCTTTTCTTTATACAAAACAAAAAACGAGTTACTTTTGTGTGGACCGAAGCTGCGCGGCCTCCCTTTTTCTATGTCTGAAGATTTCTCGAAGAAAGTTCGCGTTGCGCGTCAGAGACTTCTTGCATTCGCCAAGTCACAGGGAGGTCCGTATAAGCTGCGTTTTGATAAACTACATATGGGTTCAAATGTCTTCCTTTACGACTCCGTTTCCGATTCTGTGGTTAGTGCTTCCGCATAGGCACACGCCGGGAGTGGGAACGAACGCTTTGCTTCCTCCAACTCTAACTCACTTATCGGCGATTATACTTAAATGCGCGCAGTTTAATACCGAAGCGTGACGAATTGTGTTCTCATATTTCAACATGTGATGCTAAGATAGTACTGATCCCTGAGACCTGGCTTCATCCTGATATAAGCAACAATAAAATACTGCCGAATCATTCAAACTTTACATTTTATCGACGCGATCGGAAGTATTGTCGTGGTGGTGGCGTTTTAATATGCATTGATAAGAGTATCATAAACACACCTCTTTTCGTTTCCATGTCAATTGAGGCCATCTGGGTCTCAGTGAAATGTTGTTTTAAGTCAATCCTGGTTGACCTGTGTTATCGACCACCAGATGCGTCACCTAGTTTTGTAACTGCTTTGCGTGATGAGTTGTCAATTTTGTTCACACAATATACTGGTCATTTTGTTTTCTTAGTAGGCGATTTTAACTTCCGTGAGATAAATTGGAATTTATTAGATCTTGTTGGTAGTGGAAGTTCTGGTGAGTGTCGCAATTTTATTAGTCTCTGCCTGGGGTTTAACCTTACCCAGGTGATTTCTTTCCCTACCCATATAACCACCACATGTTCAAATATATTAGACTTGCTTTTGACTAACTATCCGAAATCTATTACCTCTCTCACCGGTTTTGAAGGCATCAGTGACCACAAAGCAGTGTTCTTTAACCTAGGATTTCAAGCACCAGAACCAGTCAGGTTGACCAAGCAAATAAGGCTATATAATAAGCGGAACTATGAGCAGCTTAACCAGGACCTCTCAAGCTATTTCTCAGTCTTTCTGGAGGGTTTTGACGATAGGAATATAAATGAAAATTGGTGCCTTTTTAAAAACAACTTACTGCAACTCATTGAAGCTCATGTTCCAACTATTACCATCAGTTCCCGGTCTTCTAATCCTTGGTGATCGCGCTCACTGTAAACCCTTAAGAATAAGAAAAAACGGCGTTTTCGAGTAGCCAGAAAACAAGACACTGCTTTATCCTGGTCTAAATATCATGAATGCGCGACTGAATATAAAATTATGTTAGAGCAGCAGACGCGCATATTCTACCAGGAGACCCTTCCATCTATGCTACTAAGCAAGTGATGGTATGCTGCGCCGCGTAGTTACGCGGAAAAAAAACACCGGAGAAATGAAGTTAAAGCACAAGGACAGACAAAACATGGGCATGAATTGGCGCAGACTAACAACTGTTTAATTTCTCTCTCTTTTTCCTCCCCCCGACCCGTATTTTCGAAATTGCGGCTTACCATCAATGTCAAACCAACTAGCCCAACTCCAGCATTACTACTAAGCAACCCGCGCCAATTTTGGAATGTTGTAAATCATGTGCCATACTCCCCACTAGAGCTTATTGATGATTCTGAGAACATTATCGGAGATTAATCAGTGTGCCACAGTTCTTAATCATATATCTTCTTCCCATTTGACCGCCCACTGTCCCTTAACACTGTCCTTAACTACTACTAGCAATGTTTTACCTATGGATCCAATTTGTATTGATTACGAAGGTATTGTTAGTATTATTAAGTCACTGAAAATGTCCTCTTCCTGTGGTGTCGACGGCCTAAATTCTAAGGTTTTACAAAGAACCAAATATTCCTCAACCCTACTTCTAACAAATATTTTTCGACAATCATTAGATACGGCGGCGGTTCCTGAGGGTTGGAGAATCGGAAAGGTCATCCCAGTCCACAGAAGCGGGGATAAATCTTCTCCTTTAAATTATAGGCCAATATCTCTAACTTCTGTAGCTTCTAAAATACTTGAGCACGTAATTTACAAGCAACTATCTATTCACCTTGATTATATCTCCTTCTTTAACAAAGCGCAGCACGGCTTCCGTCCCAACTACTCCTTCGAAACCCAACTTCTCTGCTTAACAAGCGACCTGTTCGCAAACCTTGATTCTGGCTACCCAACTGACGGTCTATTTCTCGACTTCGCTAAAGCTTTTGACAAAGTTCCAGATAACAGACTGCTTCTAAAACTATCGTTGTTAAACCTCGATAATAATGCTCTCTCCTGGATTGAATCTTTTCTCTCTCAGCGTCATCAGTTTGTTCATGTTAATAATTGTTCTTCTGCTTTAGCCCCCGTAACATCAGGCGTGCCTCAGGGAACGGTGCTTGGTCCGTTACTTTTCCTCATCTACATCAACGATCTTCCTCTTCAGGTATCTTTACCCATGTGCCTATTTGGCGACGAATGTGTCCTTTACCGAAAAATAACATCCCCTCATGACTCTTTAACCCTACAAAATGACCTCGACCTAGTTCAGGGCTGGTGTACTAACTGGCAGATGACGCTTAACGTCAGAAAATGTAAATGCATGCGCTTCTCTCGCTCCTCTTTTCAAACCTCTCCTGTTCATTTTTTCAATGGCATCCCTCTTCAACCCACGGATATGTATAAATACCTCGGCGTTCTTCTAACTTCAAACCTCTCCTGGGAAAACCATAATAATTCAGTTGTGACTTGCGCTAACAGAAGCTTGGGTTTCCTCCGTCGCAATTTCAGATCCGACCCTTCTCAACTAAAACGGCTCCTCTATCTTGCCCTAGTCCGGTCTAAATTAGAATACGCATCTTCAATCTGGCACCCTCATCAAGCTATATTAACAGACTACATTGAATTTGTTTAAAACAGTGCTACGCGTTTTATTCAGTCTGATTACTCTAGTTTTTCTAGTGTTTCCCTCATTAATAGAAATCTCTCTCTCCCATTGATTTCACCCGTCGAAAAATATCCCGTCTCTGCCTTCTGCATAAAGTTTTTTATTCACCACTTTTTAATCGGTCTCTTCTTTCCCCACCGGCTTATCTTTCCTCCAGACTCAATCACTGCAATAAAATAGCCCGGCCAAAGTGTTTTTCCACAGCACATCAGCACGCCCCTCTTCCTGATGCAATTGTGGACCTTCCCGAAGACATCGTCACCATTCAGGATCCCATCAGATTCCGAGAAGCACTATCAACCATTGTACTAAGCACCCACTCCCCTCTCTAAGGCCTTATGGTCCTGAGGGTATTGTAAATAAATAAATAAATAAATAAACTTGCTTTCACATGAGCATTTACCACTGCACTTGATCTTTTCCCCACGTCTGCCTCACTGCACACACATATGACACTAATATCCGAATACAAGATGGTCCATTTGTTACAATGTGAGGCTTACTTATAAAAAAAAGGACGCTCGAGAGCCGATCCTGCATTCACGCTGTTTTACAAAATGCAAGCGCAGCTGGAACGTCAAGGCCAAGCTCCGATTGTACATGGCGCGCACGCGTGCTCCGGCAGTGCGAGCGCCGTCAGGTCAACATTCAAACGCTTCGGCTTTGCTCGCACTTACGGGCACTCCACGTTATACGTGGCATGTGAATGTCCCAGGCGCATAGTCCTATCTTTAAAAAAAAAGGCTTGGGATGTACCAACGGCAACGTGGATTTGGGACCCCTCAAAAGTCCTGAACCCACGCTGGTCCGTTTGACAGGCCGCTCTGGAGGTGAGGCGGA